TCTCCCTTGCCCTTCCTCTCTGAAATCAATATTTTTTAAAATTAATAAAAGTTTTATTGCACGTAATAGTAATCACAAGTTTAGACATGGGTGATCTGAGACAAGACTTCCTATTGCTTTGGGCCACAGGTATTTGCCTTTTTTCCCCATTATCATTTTGCTGCTACACAGACTGCACGAGGGAAGGGTTCTGGTCATCCACACAGTTGTAGCCCATCATGGGTTTTCCTGTGAGTAGAGTGATACTCAGGTCCAATGTAATTTTCTGGTTAAAACGCCAAAAAGGTCTATAGGAGTTTAGAGGGCAGTAATCAAAGGAATAGTTGAGGTAAGCTGCAGACAGTGCATCATCTTGAGTAACACCTTATTTAATGGAAAAGGGGTGTTTGACCACCTCAAAATGAGAATTTTCTCATGTCTTTCATAAGAGACCTGGAAGCTTTTTGTTTCAATGGCCCACAAAGTTATAAAGTCCATTTTGCTGTTCACAGGACTCCTTTCCATATTCTTAGACTTCCAGCACCCCTTATGGAAGGGGGATAGTGGAGACTGCCAGCTTTGTGTTTTATTAAAGAGTAAAGGAAATCCAAACTTCCCCCATTTTTCCAGTGTTTTCTTTACATGGTATAGCTTATGTGATTTCATAATTATTTGTCTCCGTTGTTTTGCCTCCTTCCAATCATTCGTCTCGTCTTACAAATGAAAGTTAAAAGCAGAGAGAACTAGGCCATACCAAACTCACGTCGCTCAGAATAATGGCATCTCTGTTTTAAAGGCCTGCACCACCTCTGCTGGGCACTGACAGAAATTTTAGGGATTCCAAGACGGTGGTGGAATAGGTGGAAGCTACACTGACCTTCTCCCAGAGCCCAACGGGAATTACAACTAAAATACAGAAAAATCATCCTGAATAACCAATAGAAGAATCTGGAAAGAAGCCTTATAACCAAGTACTTAAAGAGAAGGCCACACTGAGACTGGTAGGAATGGCGGAAGTACGAGAGGGCTGGCCAGGCCCCCACAGGCAGCCGCTGAAGTTCCAGAGGGACATCTCAGCTGTGGAGAGGTGCCCCTGAGAAGTCTGGGGTCTAAACTCTAAGCTGGGCACCCCGACTCAGGCACCAGAACAGGGAAAGTTAGCCACATGACATCTGGCTGTAAACAGCAGAGGGGCTTCTGTCTGCCAGTGAGAGATGGCGAGAAACGCATGCACCCTCTTAAAGGGCCCACACACAAAATTTCGTTTGCAGTCACTTTGGGTTCTGGTAGAGTGAGGGCAGAGTGGACCACAGCTGCATGAGGAGAGTCTGGGGTTGGTGGCTCTGGGGAGAGAGCTGCGGACAGCCAAATCCCTGTGCTGTCATTCCTCCATTCTACCAAAGCCATCTTTCTCAGACAGCTTTCCCATCTGCAGTATTAGCCTGGGGGAAGCAACAGTCCCACCCATTGGAACCTCTCTTGCCCCACCCTATCGGGCTTATGCCCTGCTGAGGACTACAGCCAGAGACTCAATAAGTGACTGAGACTAACAGACAGCAAGGATCAGTAGTCACTTTAAATGTAAATGGCTAAGAAAACAAAACCCACATATATACTGTCTTCAAGAGACCCACCTAAGAAGGAAAGATACAGACTAAAAGTAAAGGGATGGAAATGATATTTCATGCAAATAGAAAAAAAAGCTGGGGTAGCAATATTTATATCTGAAAAAAAATAGACTTTAAAACTAAGGCTATAGTGTATTTATAATTATAATAAAAGCATAACATGCTAATTAGACCAGACAACCTTCCGGATGAACTCAGGACTGCCCAGGTCCCAGGTGCTTGCCAGCAGATAGAGGGAAGCCAAGGTCCCCGGTGCCAGAAGGAAGCCGGAGGAAGGCAGCCTACTCTTGCACAAGTTTTGTGCATCAGGCCTCTAGTCAGTACATAATGATAAAGGGATCAATCCAACAAGAGGATATGACCCTTGTAAACATTTATGCACCCAACATAGGAGCACCTAAATATGAAAGCAAATCTTGATGAACATAAAGGGAGAGACTGACAGTAATACAGTTCTAGTAGGAGATTTTAACACCCACTGACATCAATGTACATATCTTCCAGACAGAAAAACCAACAAAGGGATGGTGGCCTTAAATGACACACTGGATCAAATGGATTTAATTGATACCTTCAGAGCATTCCACCCCAAAGCAGATGACTATGCATTCTTTTCAAATGCACATGGAATGTTTTCTAGGATAGACCACATGTTAGGACACAAAACACGTCTCAGTAAATATAAGATTGAAATCATATCAAGCATCTTCCTCTGACGATAATGCTATGAAACTTGAAATCAATCACAAGAAAACTGAAAAGCACAGAGACATGGACGCTGAACAATATGTTACTACTAAACAAAGAATTGGGTTAACAATGAAATCGAGGAAGAAATCAAAAAATACCTTGAAACCAGTGAACACAACAACCCAAAATCTGCCGGACAGAGGGAAAGCAGTCGTAAGAGGAAACTTCATAGCCTGACAGGCCTACCTCAAGAAACAAGAAAAAGCTCAAAGAAACAATGTAGTTTTATACTTAAAGGAACTTGAAAAAGAACAATAAACAAAGCCCACAGTGAGTAGAAGGAAGGAAATAATAAAGATCAGAACAGAAATAAATGAAATATAGTCTAAAAAACAACACTGTACAAAAGATCAATGAAACCAAGAGCTGGTTCTTTGAAAAGATAAACAAGATTGGCAAACCTTTACCCAGACTCATCAAGAAAAAAAAAGAGAGAGGCCCCAAATAAATAAAATCAGATATGAAAGAGAAGTAACAACTGACACCAAAGAAATACAAAGGATTGTAAGAAAATATTGTGAACAACCAAATGCCAACAAATTGGACAGTCTGGAAGAGATGGATAAATTCCGCCCTAGCCAGTTTGGCTCAGTGGATAGAGTGTCGACCTGCAGAACAAAGGGTCCCAGATTCAGTTCCAGTCAAGGGCACGTGCTTCAGTTGCAGGCTCCTCCTCAGCCCAGGGCCCTGGCCAGGACGAGTGCAGGAGGCAACCAATCGATGTGTTTCTCTCATGTCAATGTTTCTGTCTTTCCCTCTCTCTTCCACTCTCTCTAAAAATCAATGGAAAAATATCCTCAGTGGTTGAACATAAGCCTATGAACCAGGAGTTCATCGTTCAATTCCTGGTCAGGGCACATGCCCAGTTGCAGGCTCCATCCCCAGTGTGGGGCGAGTAGAAGGTAGCGGATCAATGATTCTTTCTCATCATTGATGTTTCTGTCTCTCTCTCTCCCTTCATCTCTGAAATCAATAAAAATATATTTTTTAATAAAAGATCATACACCATGATCAAGTGGGATTTATTATGGGGGTGCAAGGTTGGCACAATATCCGCAAAACATGTGATATACCACATATACATATTAAAGGATAGAAGCCACATGATCTTAATTGCTGTAATTTCATCATAAATTCTGATATATGATAGGACATGTCTCCTCTCCTAGCTTCTTCAGACATATCCTGATTATTGTTGGCCCTTCACATATTATGTAAGAGATCAACCAAAGGACTTGTATGCATGCATATGAGCATAACCAATGGACACAGACAGTAGAGGGGTGAGGGCATGTGCTGGAGGGTGGGGGCAGCCGGTAAGAGGTCAATGGGGGGAAAAAGAGACTTATGTAATACTTTAAACAATAAAGAATTTAAATTAAAAAAATCATATCAACAGATGCAGAACAAGCATTTGATAAAGTCCAGCAGCTATTTATGATTAAAAACTCTCAGCAAAGTGGAAATAAACGCAGTGGTTCTCAACCTTCTGGCCCTTTAAATACAGTTCCTGGTGTTGTGACCCAATCATAAAATTATTTTCGTGGCTACTTCATAACTGTAATGTTGCTATTGTTATGAATCGTAATGTAAATAACTGATATGCAGGATGGTCTTAGGCGACCCCTGTGGAAGGGTCGTTCCACCGCCAAAGGGATCGCGACCCACAGGTTGAGAACCGCTGGAATAGAGGGAACACTCCCCAGAGGTTCCTAGCTGGCCTAGGCCCATGCCTATCCTCTGCACCCCCCCAATCCTGCCCCAAAGAGGCCTTAGAAATATTTTCTGGAGGCACATCCAACTTGAGGAGAGGGTGCAATGCTGGTCACCTGACACCGCCTTTTCCCGGCTCCAGCCCCACCTCCTTATTGGTTCAGCCCTCCCCTTCCCAGCTGAGCTCCGAAGTTCCCGAATTATACCCTGCCCTCTTGACCAAGGTGAAGCCACACCCCTCTGTGGCCTCAATAAGCCTTCAAGGGGCCAGCACACCAAAGTCACTTCGTTTTTACTCTCAACCTCCTACCTATTTCATCAAAAGGTCTCCTTTCAAAATTAACCCAGAGCACACCAGAAGGAGGGCAGGCCAGCCTCTGCCTCTACCTCTGCCTCCTGGGAGGTCTGCAACTCCAGTATCCACCTGTCCCAGTCCCCCCTTTGGGACCTACTGAATCCACTTCTTCCCCCAGGACCTTCCAGATTCCTCGCCCCAGGGCCAGGTCTAGGAGGCCCCAGGTGTGTATGGTTCACTGAGCGTGTGGTGGATGATGAGGCAGGTGTGAACAGTATAGAGCAGTGGTTCTCAACCTTGGCTGCACATTAGAATCACCTGGGAATCTTTTCAAAATCCTGATTTCTGGGCCTCATCCTCCGGAAATTCTGTTTCTTTGTTACTAATGTTGTGGCCCCACCCCATAACAAACAGAATTTCCAGAGGATGAGGCCCAGAAATCAGGATTTTAAAAAGATTCCCAGGTGATTCTAATGTGCAGCCAAGATTGAGATCCACTGGTATAGAGTCTGGTGTAAGGATCCAGGCAGTGACCTCTCTGCAAGGCCTCGGGTCAAGGGTCAGCTCAAGTTTGGAGACCTTTCTGGGTCATAAATTCTATCACCCTCGAAAAACAATTCAGTCACTCCTTGACCCAAGGCTTGGTAGTGGCATTTTAATGGCTTTCACTGGTGTAACAGCAGCAAGAAGAGAAGGGGAAGTTGGCCTGACCCCTGCAGGAGAGGGCTCAGCTGGAAAGGGGGCAGCCAGCCCCCAGCAGGTCTAGCCTTCCTTTTCCCATCGGACGGAGGCCAGGAAAGTGCGGATTTCCATGGGCTGCAGTGTGATGCTGGCAGGGTCCAGCCGGGAGGGAGAGGGCTTGAGTGTGGGGCCTGGAGAGGTGCAGGGGAAGAATGAGGGACGCAGACTTACTCTGCCTCACTCCCCCTCCCCTGTGCTCTCTCCCCTGGGCCTGGACACCCAGACACCCTCAAATCTGTTGCCAGGGCCTCACTACCAGACTCTTCAATTGCTTCCCAGGGCCTGGATCCCACCCCCAGATCCCCAAGTCCCTCCCAATGCCTGGCCACTGCCCTCACACCCTCAAGTCCCACCTCAAGGATTGTCAAGCAAACCCCAAGGCTGATGAACAGCCCCACCCCACTCCCAAACTAGACACTGACAGAGACTCAGATCTTGTACTTGGGACTGCACTCCAACCTCAGAAACCCAAGATCCACCACTAGTTTGCTGTACTTAAGACCCTGATACCCCCAGCCTGGATCTGAACACCACCGAAGACCCTGGAGCTGCCCTGGGTCTTGGCCAACACTCCACACCTTCCACACAGCCCCCAGCTCCCAACCTCAGGGGCAAGCCCTCACCCGTCTTTGGTGTCCACTGGAGCCTGGAGGCCTTGGCCCGGAGCTGGTTGGCAGCCAGCGTGGTCTCCTTAAGGTCGGTGATGGTGAAGGCAGAGAACAGGTCCTGCAGGCAGCGGATGGCGGGGCTGAGCAAGGGAGGGTCAACGCGAGGTTTCCCCTCTCCCTCCGCTGGCTTCTCTCCTTCTCCTGTTTCCTTCCCACTCTGCCCTCCTCACCTTCAAGTCCAAGGTCACTGGAGAGCTCAGGTTGCCGACCATGTCCTCCCCTAGAGCGAACTGGTGCTCCAGGCGCAGCAGCAGCATCTCCGGGCCCCAGCGGG